ATAAATAGCTAACATACAACATTTAGAGTAACGAAAAAATTATAAATAATACTTACTAAAAATTTGTATTGTTTAACGGAAACATTAAATGTTCCCATGAAAACCACGGTTTGTTCTGTTTCTTTTCTTTTTTTTTCCAAGACACAAGTTACCGACCTCTTTAATGTTATCCCTGATCCTTACCCATAAATTATTTAGATCATCGCAGTCATCGTCAGAAAGTTCAAAGAAAAAGCTTAAAATATATTATTAATTTCCAGCAAGAATTGAGTACTAATTTATGTATTTTTTTAATTTTTACAAATTAAAATTCTCGGTATCGAAACGGTTTTCTTAACTCTTTATATTTTATATTTAGTTTTTGTCAAATTTCCGCGATAAGGAATTCACGATCTATCATTCTATTCCACGTTCTGCCCCGCGATAAGACCTTACATTTATTATACTATTTATTATACTACATAGCCACCTACTACTAACTACTTTATGTTTTATCAAGACGTGATTGATTTGGTTTAGTGTTTCCGAACCGGTGATGTCCGAGTATATTCGTGAATATTCTTATGTTGAAACATAATACTTTTAATTATTAGATTTTTTGAGATAGCATAATTTATTAACCGAACTCCATTAACATATACATATTATAGTCTTGTAAGCTTTCTTTACCGATCGTGGAAAGTAAACTTCTTCCTTTCCCACGTTTGCGTCAGCGTCTCCTAAAACTATTTTCATGCAGCTTCGCTGTACTTTATCATAAACCTTCTCCATTTTATTATAAAATTTGGATTCTTCATCACTGTCTTCGGTTGGACAGTGTATGTTTACTACTGCGATTTTAAACCAACGCTCCTGGTATATGTCCACCAAAATCTTATCACTAAGGAATTGTACGTCCCTCAAAGCGGATAGAAATTCATTAACCATAAAGCTTTAGGGTAAAGCTTTCCTTTCAAGTTCAAATCAATAAGTCTCTTATATATCGAATAACCATAGTCGAACTGGATAAAAATAAGAGAGAACAAAAGTAGATAGCAGATTTTTCAAGGCATGAATTCACGGAATCTATGTAACTATCTATGGATGCCTTTAGGTTTATTATTTTCAATAATCAACCATTGTGATCGACCAAAAAATTCAAAAACTTAACCCCCTCTTAAAGTTTGAGGTTTCACGTTTCAGGATGCGTAAAATTCGAAAAACGAATAAATATTTTTTTGTCCGTCCGCCGTCCGTTTTTTTCTCCGAAACTACTGAACCGATGTTTTTCAAATTTAGATATAAAATCAGAGGTCACCCGAGGATGATCCTCCTTCATCGACTTATTGTCTGCCTTTTAATTTTAAAATGGCGGTAGAGAAACCTGCGTTGCTATAGACTGTAGCGCCTAAACGAATGTAGCGATATCAATGAAACTTCGCTAAATTAATTTTCTCTACGCTCTTTATAATTATCTATATAACATACTTCAACGAAAAGAAGCTGGAAAAAAAGTTACGAGGGATGGTAAAATTTAATTCCGGATAATTCAAAATGTATACACTTTTTTTTACGAAATTTCCTAAAATCCAAAAAAACATCGTTAAAATCGGACAATTAGGAGTAAAGATATTGTCCGGTTTTTTTTATATGTTCTACTCCAAACGTTATATCCTTTGTTTGGTTTTCAAATTTTGAATGTGTTACTGAAGTAATGCTATTTTTTTTTTTAGCATATTACTAATGATGAAAAAAAACAGTTTAGTCCAATAATTGGAATCACCTTTTATTTATTTTTCTTTGTAACTAGAAGGTAATGTTACTTTCGATGTATAATTGTTTGGAGATAATAAACCATTGTGGAATAATTTGTGAAGCCTTTTTTAATAAAATTCGTCATACAAACTGCATTAATATAGTTAGTTATCTTTAAGTAAGCTACATTTTGGCAACTATATTCAAATATAATAGCAATCCTGAATGATACCATTCCGATATCAGTCATGGGGTCTAAATAGGTAATGCATGTCCCTGCTACAAATGCCATTTGAATATTTTATCAGGGCTAGGGCGGCAGAATTTCATTTTCTCTCAGTTCCGGCGGTCTGTCATTATTCTTAAATATGGAATGAGCTCTTTCGCCGGTCGCATGCATTACAGGGAATATGGAGAATCCGACTCTCTTGACGAAAAGTGGACAATGGGTAATTTGAATACTACATTATCTCTATCATGGGCAATTTGCAAAACGAAATTGAAAATTATCGTTAAATATAGAAATATTTACTTGATTTTTTTCTCAATTAAACGCATTTAATATTTAAATCCTATCGTCTTGGTCTATTTAAAATACATAATGAGCTACGTATTTATTAGGGCGTATACAAAAATATTGCTTTTCCTCAAAAATCTCACTGTCGTTCCACTGCTCTTGTTTCGACAGTCTTTCCTTTTTTTTTTTCTATTTTAGTTAAATTATTCATATCTAAATTTGTTGGATTTTCATAATAAAATTATACTATTCGGTGTTGTGATCAGGCGATTAAATTGATATTGTTATTTACACGCTTTTAAGGTCCTTCTTGGTTTGAAATAACCTTTAAATGAAGCTTAATCATGAATTGAATTAATCAAATTGTAATTAAAAAAAACTGAACTGCAACAATTAAACATTTATTTTTTCAATATTTACACATAAAATAAGATAATAACTTCCATATAAATGAAAATAATAATGTGCTTAACATTTAAGAAATATTTAATAATAATAAGAAATGATGATAGCTTAATAAAACAAAATATGGATTTGATACGACTGGCCCAATATTAAAATCGAAATAAAGACTAAAACAAATATTAATAGCCCAATAATAAAATTTATGAAAAAAGAAACTGTACCAGTACAACTCAAGAAGGGTCTTGGGTTCACTACTATTTGTTTCTTGGTCTAACGGTTGTGCAAGGATGTGATTTGACTGAGATCACGCTCAACCAGCAGGTTTTTCCCTTAATTAATTATTTTAATTAAGGATACCTACTTTATAGAGGCTGGGTGTGCCCCAGGGGAGTCTACCTACCCAGGGCCAATAAAACAGAATAAATAATTTTTCTGTCATGAGCCGGGATTCGAACCTGAGACCTTTAGCATTGGAAGCTCAGTACCCTACCTCTGAGCTACTCCACTCCCTAATAAAATTTATACAAAACCAAAATATAATGAATTGGTATAACGATACGTTCGTAATGGTGGACGAACCGCTAGCATTCCAATCCTTATGCAGCGACTTGATATAGATTTATTTTTCATAAGTGCCCTAATCGAACTACAAGTGGGCAGTGACGAGCGTGGCTACAAGACTGAGAAGTACGTCCCCTTCAAAGATAGGCTGCATTATAAGTTAGTATAGGGCAGTATAACAGTTGGCAGAACTGAGCTCAGTGACGGACGGAGTCAAACTGTGAATTGCGAATCCACGGGCTGAGTGCTTGAACCTAGGAATTGTTTATAACTAGGGCTACAATCCATAACAATTTAATTATAAACCAGTCTATCGAATATAAATAATGTAAGCTATGAGCCTATAAATATATATATAACTATTAATTGATTTCATTTTATAAAATAAACCAAATAAACAAATAATCAAATTATTGTTTAAATAAAAATAGCAAACTAAAATAAAATAAATTAACGCTATGGTGTTAACACAAGAAATAGATCTCTTATTCCTATTCATATGCTAAAGTGGAATTTTTGCATTCGATCATGGATAAAATATTTTTTTTTTACATTAGTCTGGTCTTAAATGATTAATCAGTGATAATTTTAGTGGTAAGAGAACGCACTATCTAACATCGTGTCCGGACATTTCTGCGAGTTATTTTGTAATGACTCGTATATATTATATGCACATACAATTATATATGTACATATGTACGCGCACATGTATATAGACGAGTATGTATATATACGAAAAATATGGATATACTAATTTTGTTATCAAGGAGGTGGCGGCAGGACGGGTTCTTCAGGAAGGAGATTGGCTTGACCGCAATATCTGGAGTTCAGAAAAGGTAACCTTCGTTGGAACGCCTTTATAATATATATAATTTTAGTTTATTTACTTATATTTTATGTAAATATAATGTGAATGAACTCTTTCCTCACTATAAGTATTGTCTTTATAGTAACAGAATGTTTTCTTACTTAATAAAATAGTTTTAATTTAATTTAAGAACATTTAATCTTTTTTTATTTTTATTTTTTTTATAATCATTATATGTGCCTTTAAATTTGTTCGAATGTTGTCGTGAATGATTCAATATATTTATTTAATGACAATCACTGTTGATATTGATTAATGAGGTACACATTATCAATGAATAATAAATTTAATCAGTACATCTTCTTTATTTCTTATTACAGTGATACTAAACTACACTTGTGCGTGTGTGCGTGCGCGAGTTTATGTGGGTGTTAAAATGTATATGGTTAGGATATTACAACATATTTTTTATGCTGGTTTCCCAAGACTATAAAAAATATTTTACTACTTAAAACTTTATTTTCATGACGTTTGGCTATAATGCTTGGTTTAAGTCCGTTATAGCTAATTTTAATTTCGATGTCTTTCGTTTCATTTTGACATGTGGGTTTCGGGTCATCTTTCTGTCGAATAATAGTCCGAGATAATGTACAGTGTCATTCTGAGGAATTTGGTTGTCGCCGATATAAACTGGTGGGCATGTGTCTCGTCGAAGTGTAAATGTTATATGTTGTGATTTGTCATGATTTAATCTAATTTTCCAAAGTGAATACCAATTTTGTAAATTTAGTAAGTGATTTTGTAAATTCAGTGAGGCTAGTCTGGGGTTATGGTGTTTTGTTAAAATTTCGTAATCTTAATCTTAAAAGATATAACTTATTTTGTATAGTATCAAGAATTTTATCTTTCTTATTTTAATGATTATGATTTATAGCAATAATATAATAAATAATTGTTTTTTCATTAACTTTTTTTCCATGTTTTCTTGAATATGTAATGACGTAATGTTGAGTATTTAACTTCTGGAAAATCCGGTGCCTCCTTATAAGCTACCCTATAACCTCAATGTTAGTGTTTGCGTGAATATTATTTGTTAAATGACTATGATGAATTTGGAACTGCCGCAAACATCAAATTGAAGTATGAATAAGCTGTGCTGCAGACCTACAACAAAAATAGAAAGCTTAATTCAGTTTAAAATTTTCAGGCTTTGTAATTTTAACAACACAAATAAAAGTTCTGAAAATTTGGTAAGAATAAAATTTAAAATATTAGTATCTGATGGCTGAATACTGAAACCTCGTATCTGCATTACCACTCTTTTACGAAACGCAATTTAACAATCTCGTGTTTTGTCTTTTTTTCAAGACTGAAGAAGACCTGCTAGAATATTTTTTTTTCAGTTTCTTGACTTTTTTTTTTTTTTAATAGTGATAATACGACTTATCTCCAGAAAAATGGATGGCTGATTACATACGAATTTTCACACAACATTGTGTTTTTTATTTATATTATGGTGTGTAGTTTTATTATTCTAACTATGGTAACAAATGTTTTTTTTTTTTGTATGATTGTTTGGCATTTCTTAACCATTACTGTAATTTTGGACATTTCAAGCTATAAGTATTAGATATATTAATAAGTAATAAATTAGATCTGATTTTTAATAGTTTTTGGGAGGTTCGTTAATAAAAACAATACTAATTTCGTATAAAATAGATTGATAAAAATAATCACTAACATTTCCAAAGGTGTTGAGGTTGTATTCCATGAAGTTTCCACCCTTCAGCTTGATAGGGCTGTTCGTGTAAGCTTGCATTATAAGAACGTAAGGCTTCACAGTTTTGCTACAATCTTCCCAATCTATTTCATATAGGACTTCTCTTATTTCAGCACTCTAAAATATACAAAAAATGTGAGTATACAATATTATTAAATTTGAATTAGACCTACTCAAAGCTCATTTTAATTCCTCAATAAGTATTTATTTTCTATTTTTAAAAATAGTCATCTATTTTATGTAATTAGATAGTTTCATAGTTTTTTACATAGTGTTATATATTATGAGCCTACATCTGAGCTTCTCAATTTGATAATTCGACTCATGTCAAGATTATATTTTTTTTCTTTTTCACTACGGACGTGATACAGGTTATAAGAGGAAAAACACCTTGGCCACGGCGTAAAATCTTTCCAGACCTGTTTTACGTTATATAGATAGGAACAACACAACACAAACTACTGTTGGATCTAATCTTGATGAAATTTTCAGAGACTACAGAGATCTTTATCAAGATATTTAAATAATTAATGATCGTATCAAGTGCCATCCACTTCACATGTGTAAACTGATCTAATCTAAGCGTAATCTAATGCACTTAAAATTTTCAAAACGTGTAAAAGTGATACATTAATAATTATAAATAATACTATCCATTACTTTCTCTTACGCATGGGTTAACTCTCCTCCTCTTCTTAGATGGCCATATTTCCAAATCGTTTCATACAATTTGATGTAATGTTGGATGGAAGTTGATATCTAGTGATCTTATCGTACAGTACTATTCCTTTAAATTGTAACAATCCTCATACCAGACTGAAACGACAAGAAACCGCTCGACGTTTCCGACTACTCCAACACTTACTAGACAAACGCTCTAAACTTCCCCTTAATTACAAAAGACTCATATACTTGACTATAATAAGACCTATTTGGACTTACGGAGTTGAGCTATGGGGCTCCACTAAACCATCGAATTCCTCTCGCATCCAATCCTTACAATCCAAAATCCTTCGTAAAATCCTCAATGCTCCTTACTTTGTCACTAATAAAATAATCCATAAAGACCTCAATGTTCCATATGTTTCCGATTTGGCCAAATCCAGATACCTATCCTTCCATAATAAACTTCATAACCATCCGAATCCTCTTGTTTCTAACCTTGCTTCCTCTTCGATTCCTGATAACCCTCCGAGGCGTCTGAAAAGAAGATGGCCTCGTGATCTTCTCTGATCGTGGGTAGTTTCTCAACAAGCGTGTTTCATGTAATAATATTTCTCTGTACAAATTTACTTGATGTATTTATACTAATACAGTTGTAAATATCATAATAAAAGCTTAAAAAAAAAAAAAAATTGTAACAATTTACGTTCACATAATTTTTCGTACATATCCAGCTGTAAGTGATAAGATAGTTACATAAGCACATTTCTGACAGTAAGGACCGATTTACTGAAGATTTATTTAAATTTTGCATATCGTGGCCAGGATAAAAATTAGTATCATATCTTCAAGTGAATCTTGAAATAAATATTCTCATACTTTTTGAAGGGAGGGAGGAGGCGTTGAACATCGAAATCCATACAAAATTGGAAATTGATCCATATATTATTTTTTCTATTCATGAACTCAATATGACAATATTCACTTATGTCGACTCCAACATCCTTAAAAGTTTACCTCTAAAACTTTATTTATACAGAATACAATGCCAAACGTTTTCTAAATAGATCGGGTTATATGTTATATAAAGACGTCTTCAATATATTTGTTTAATTTAAATTTATTCAACTATAAAAATAAAGATTTTTGTTATCGTCTATCACAATGAGGAAAAAACATAATTTCTGGAACTGTAATTAATAAATTCTTATAAAAAGTCAATAAATATATCACTCACCATTTCTGATATCTTCTGCCCATACCAGGCATAAATGAAGGTGTGCATTAACTCACCGGAAAGGTAAAATATAAATGAACATTTTGTTCCGAACCCAACCACATCCTAGAGAAAAATAATGGAAGTAATATTCTAAGAATATATAATAAATCAAAGAAATAAACAATAAATGAAATATATATATTACAAAAAAAAAGTAGATCCCACTGAGACATAACATAGAAGCACCAGCCATCATCACTACCATCACACACCAAGCGTAAAGGGACTGGAGTTCTTTAAAATACCTAAACATAAATAAAAAAATTAACAAGTTCTATATTTCTCTCTATAATAATAAAAAAAAAAGTTTTGGAATATTTGTCATAAGTATAGCCCACAACCACCTGTTTATTTAATTAATGGATTTTTGTTTTATCTTAAAATGGATACCTTATTACGGTATAATGGTGCACCACTGATTCGTCTAGACACATCTTCAAGCAAATCGAGAAGCTCTCTTCTCGCAAAGTTGTTGGTTCCCTCCCAAAGATTTTTTTGTGTAAGTATCTGTAAGAAATGAAAATTATATATGATAAGTATTTTGAAATACTATTTACAGTATTGTCCCTTTTAGACAGATATTTCTTTGTCCGAAGGCCTTAGGAATTTCCTTAATTCGACTATTGTTGGCAGGAGAACAAGCTGTTTCTGAAATATTAGTATATCTAAAAAAATACGTTTGCGCGTACGTAAGCGGAAGTGCTGGATATAATTTGATGAAATTGATATGAGACCATGTAGGCATCAACCACTAGGTGACATGCCTGTCACATCGATTTGACTACAGACAGACAGACCGACAGACAGACAAACAGGCAGACACCGAACCTAATTTGATCCTTGATGTCTAAAATATAAAACTTTTGGAAATTTTTATTCTGAGCACACATTTTTTTTTAACCTCTCGCACGAACACAATGCATCATTCCAATCAATACAATACAATCCTTATCAATACAATCATTCCCTTCCTTCGGTAGTGAGGAAGCAAAAATATTCACAAAAAGTGCAATCTTTTCATTCCAAAATTTTAAGATTAGTAACAGCAGCTCTCTGTTACACAAAAAACCAAAATTTACATGCTGACTAACGTGAACCAACCGTACCAACACATTCGTAATATTTATTCAAAATTTCGAATTTTATGTTGCTACAAATCGTGAATTTCCCTCGGTGAAATTTCTTATTCTTACGGTGAAATGAAATGAAATGAAAAAATGAAAATATATTTTTATTATCCTGGGACTTTTGTCCCTTTGGGACAAATTATAGATACAAAGGAAAAGCCTGTGTGGCCATAAAATTAGATTAAATATTTACAATGCTCATTAAAATAAAAATAAAACAAAACCAATGAATACATACAGATATATACAATAAAAACATGTGAAAATAAAATAATTATATAATTACATAATTATATTTATATAAATTAGGCCAATTTTTATTGTATATGTTTTCATCTGGAGGGACTCCCTCCAGAAATGATGTAGGTGAAGCCCCTATAGACCATGACAATTTAATGTTCACTAAACATATTATTTGCGACATTAACGGAGAACTCATCAAGGACTTGAAAATGACCCTTAGTATGGTCGAAACGTCGAATTAAATAGCGTATCAATAAAATTTTTGGTGATAATTGGCATAATTTATATAAATACCTCAAGACACCAAAATTAGGATAATTGAACAGAAGAAATAACATAATTAAACAAAACCATTTCGGGGGGAACTTAAAAAGTTCTCTAATCTACTGTTCATGATCAACCGGGATGGGAAAGAAGTAGGTGCTTAAAAAGGAGAGATTTAAATGAGGAAACTGATTGCGCTTGTCGGATATCTGGATGGAGACGGCTTGAATTATAAAGGATTTGTCAAACGCAGCAGTTAGGTGAGGAGGTGGATAGAGGTCAGAAGAACGGGATCTGGTGGGACGGGATTGAATGGAATATTTAAATTGTAGGCTGTGAAAAATATAGGAAGGTCCCTGAGTTCTGATGGCGTGGTATAGAAAGGTAGCAAGGAAGTACAGACGGCTGTTGGATGGATAGAGCCACTTCAACTTGGTGTAATACCGGGTTATATGCGTATCTCTTGAGATTCCGAAAACAAAACGTATTGCACATTTCTTCAGGCGGTGATCCAAGATCCACTTATTTCTCCTATACGGAAATATGAAGATTAATGGAGTATACAAGATATGGAGTACCTTGCTCTCCTTATTGAATTACGTATCGTGTGACAGAGGATCCAAAGTTGGTTGCACCCTTCCTCACAGAAGCAGCTGAAGGCTACGTCCGACCCGTTGAGTTCAGTTATGATGAAGAATGCGGTGACGTACTGCTGGAAGGAGCACAAGTACCAACCCAGATCTCCTTTTATCGGGAAGTAAGAGACAATTGGAACTTTCCTTAAAAGAATAAGCCAGAGTGAGTAGAATATTTAGAAATATGTTTACATTCTTTAATTGTGGCTTGATGTTACAGGATTTAAACTAAATTAAATTATTTACTCTACATTATCTATAAGCATGACATACTTACAAGCTCCGAAACATTGACTGCTTCTTACGCTGACGACGACAACAATTTTAACAAAAAACCACGACCCCAGACTAACCTCACTTAATCATTAACTAAATTAACAAAATTGTTATTCACTTTGGAAAATTAGATTAAATCATGACAAATCACAACATATAACATTTACACTGCGACGAGACACATGTCCACCAGTTTATATCGGCAGCCATCTCCAAAAAGCCTGTAACTCTGGTTATTTTGTAGATGTCAAGCCAAGATAAAAACTGAAATAATTTAGAGTATTTATACAGTCACAGTACCCATACACGAGCTGTCTATCTGACATGACTGTACATCGGCCGTATTAGATCTTCTGAAAGTCTCTTTTATCATTGATCTTAGTAAATTTAATAACTTTATACATTAAAAAAAAAAATGTCTACTTTACGATAGAGTACTTAGTATATAGAGTACTTACTTATTGTCTTGAACAGTTTTTCAGTAATTCCTTCTTTTTCAATAAAAACGTGACCACACAAAATTGGCTTAGCATCTTTTCCGTTTGGAATCGGCCTAAGCATCAAATGAACTTTTTTGTTGGAAATTTTTCCTAAAACCTTTCCCCAAAGTTTGGCCATTAACAACTGGGATACCGTGTTTAATTATTATTTGCCAAATATATTTTACCTTCCCATGATTTCGAAATATAGAAATATCAACTTATAACCTAACAATTATACTATAATACATAAAATTATTTTTTAAATTTCCTTTTATTGCCCAAAGGCATTTTAAGGTAAAAGGGCTATGCACGCTGTATGCGTACTTTGTATCTTATAATAACAGGCCTCTGGCCCCCGATGCAAAGTACACATACAGCGTGCATAGCCCTTTTACCTTAAAATGCCCTTAGGCAATAAAAGGAAATTCAAAAAATTTGTATATATAATTCTTTACATTTATGTATTGTATTTTGTAACAAATAAATTCTTTGAGGGTAGGAAAAAAAAATATGATATATAAATACAATGAATTACTTACATCAGTATCCTTTCTTCTTTTACCGTGATTCCACTTTTTCTGAAAAGGATAGGAATGAGCAAAACACCAAAGACGCCACATGCAACGTAAACCAATACCATAATGTTGCTAATTTTATTTTTTCTGTTTTTCATCTTCAATGTCATGTCCTCAATTTCCCTTATCGTTTCTGGATCTAATGTATTTTTATATTTGAAGATTCCTTGTTCCAGTAACCTATTGTATATTGTATGGAGTCAGTTGTATTTTAGCTAACTCAAATTATTGTTTTTTAATATATTTAAAGTACAATTATTATGTTATTAGCTACAATCTATCTATCAATTATATATTATTTCTGTGTAATACGATTCTTCTTTCTGGCTCTCAGGAGCGATGGATTTTGAATAATGAGCTTTCAATAGAAAGGGAATTTCATCTAAAATATTCGAATCATAATTTCGGTTCTCAAATTTTTACTAGAACTTGAATAAAAGTGAATGTATAAAGTGGGAGATTCCGTTACTCATAACGGTAACTTGGATCGGAACGGGGTAAAATGAGTTTTAAATTTTGAAGTGATTACCAAGCCCAAAGGAAATATATCTGGCCCTGAATTTTTAAGCCTTAAATGTTTTTGAGATAATTAATGCACGGAATAGGAATGCCCACGGCGATTACTTCGGTCACCATGGTATATTTATCTCTTAGCTTACATTGAGTTTCGGATTAAAGCTCTCATCAAGAATTAGCTGGCAGCGTTCAGGAATAGAAGGGATAGACTGTTTAATAACGAACCACTCTCAGTTTTACTATGGTTAATCCAAAAAAATCGAGAGTAATAATAGTATTTTTTATCTGAAACTGTTATACTATGCAGAAGAAAGGATTATATTGGAGTATCCGCATGGGCATAATTATTGGTATTCCTCCCTTTGAACACAACCTTAAAGATCAAGAAACATTCTACAACATTTACTATAAAAGGGGTCCACTTAGAAACATAAGATGGTAAGAGTAAATATATAATTTTTAAAATGATTGGAATCAGACCATTGGATGGTTTTGTTGATTTGAAAACAGCCTACGATTATGAAAGTTCATCACCGAACAGGATTGCAATTGATATTAACGTATCTGGGATCCCATTAATTATATAAAATACTCATTAAAAATGTAAAAGAAACTTCTAATAATTAATTTTTACATCCAGTGGAACAATAGCGTCACTGCAAGTCATACAGTATTATAGGAGTGGCAAAAAACTAAGTGAAATTATTAATATTATAATCATATACTTTTTAAAATTGATTGTACAAGTGTAAAATTCTAGGGTTGATTCAAATTTGGATTGTATTGTACTGAGAGGTGATTCCCACTTAACAAATCCTCCACTTCATCCAATAATTAGCACTTGTTTCGTTGTACCTTAAGTATGTAAATGTTTATAGATCAGGTTTTATTTTATTTATACATTTATTTTTAACAATATAAATTATCATTAATCAACTTAAATATTATAATGATTAAATTGGAGAAGATTATGAATAATTAAATAATCTTTCCTAATTTCAAAACGTAAAATTGTTACATTATTCATCTTGAATAGGATTCCTTTAGTATTTTTTTTTCATAAATTGATGCCTGATTTTTCAAACTCAAACAACTAATACGACAATGCGTTATTCAACGTATTTCAGAAAAAAAAATATTAAGAAGTACAGATTATATATTACATCGTTGTTCCACCATTAGCAACACCCAAAACATTTTAAGTTGAGGTCGCAACAGCTGTTTTATCACTCCTCGGATAAGGCTGAATTCGTCTTTCATTTCAACAGCGACACAATTATCTTATATAATGTAAAATATTGATAATAATTTATTTT